TTTTTAGATCATTGTTATCACAACTGTTGTCAGAGTGAAGCCATCTCGTCAAGCATGACAACATGGAAATTGAAGTTGTCCAGTGACACAACTTTAGTCTTTTCATATCTTATGGAGCAAGACGGAGACTAGTGGATGTGATTGACTTGTCGCCAACTTAGAATATTTCTTAATGGTTTTCAGGTAGTTTCTATTTTATTTACAGATTATTGGGCCATTTTGGGCAAACCATTGGTTTATTAAGCCCCTTATGGTTATTGTTTTCTTTCTTTTGGAATTTTTGTTCGCTAATATTTTTGTCAATGAGTTTACCTTGGAAAACTTGTTGTATGACTTAACTTATATTTTTATAGACATGTTCCATGAAGTTGATTGTTTGGTCGATAGTGTTACCACAGACACTGTTTTACGTAATCACGTTTACTTTCAACTTCACACTTACTGAATCTTCAGTGACAACAGTTGATGGCTCAACACTATTGATACAGGGGCATGGAAAAGCCCAACTCGTGTTGCCTAATGGTACTTTGCTTACCGTTAACAAGGCCTTGTATTCATCTTTTCTAGTCGAATGTTATTGATTTTTAAGGACATTCGAGCTAACAAATTACATTGTGAAACTATGGAAGATCATCTTGAATACCCTAGAGGGATATGATGTGTCGCATACTTCGTGCATCACATGGTCAACCACTTGAAAAATGACATACATGATCCAGTTGATCACACCATGTGAAGCTTGCTCGCTAGGTAAAGACAGCCATAAGTCTTGATTTAGCTATAAGCCTTCGCATGCAAACAACTTTAAAGAGCACAACACTTTCTTGGAAATGATCTAATGAGATATTAGCGGACCAATCCAATCACCATGCAGATCATTTAGCTACTTTATGGTTTTGGTTGATGCATCAACTTGATTATCACACATTGCCCTATTGTCCACAAGGAATGCTTTATTTGCAAGACTCCTTAACCGGATCATTAAGTTGAGAGCGTATCACCCAGATTATCCAATAAAATATATAAGATTGGATAATGCTGCAGAGTTTGCTTCGAAAATGTTTGACGATTATTGCCAGGGCCGACCCTGAGAATTAAGGGGCTTTGTGCAAGATTTAGATAGAGGCCCTTCATTTTTTAATATTGTATTTTCTTTGTTATTTTTTTTTCAATTAGTATCTATAAAATTTAAATATTACAAATTAGAGCACCACTTTGAGTGGACAAGAGTGTTTCCTGTCTTGAAAGGTCTTCAGTTCTAAATATGTTGCATGGTTTTTTGTGTAAAACTTATCAACTTTTTAAGTTAATAAATTTGCAAAACTTAAAAATAGCAAAATAGTTCTACAAGGACTCGAACCTAGGCCATGTACAAGAAGATTGAAAGCCTACACCACTAGTGCTAGTGTGGTGTTATTATTATTTTGCATATTTAACTATATAATAGGTATTTGTTTACATGAAAAGAAACTTTGGGGGCCCTTCCGAATTGGGGGCCCTGTGCGGTGTCACCTTTTGCACACCCTCAGGGTCGGCTCTGATTATTGCATGAGTTTCGATATTGAAATTGAACATCTAGTTGCATATACACTTAAAATGGTTTGGCAGAATCGTTTATCAAATGTATCCAAACAATAGCTTGAACCTTGATAATGTGGTCTAAGTTTCTGATTTATGCTTAGGGCTATGCAACCTTCCTATCACTAGAGGGAGAAGGTCACACTTGTGTTCACGAAGAATGCTAAGATTTGACGTGGCTTGCCACCACTTTGACTCATCTTGATCATGAATCGTAAAATGCAAAGTCAAAGTGCATGGAATCCTAGATCTTTAGAGCGTTGCTTAAAATCTACCAGATGCCCTTACTGATCTAGTGATAGTCACAAGATCACACATTCCTACTGTAAATGTCCCTATAAGGATGATGTTCCTAAAGTTTTCTTAGTTGGGCGTCGTGTTCCCATATAATATGTAGTTTCTGAAGAATGAAGAATGATATTGGCAGCTAGGGTCCCTTCCCTAAAGCGAGGCAGACCCATTGGTTTAAAAAATTCTTAAAAAATGAGAGTAACAACATATGAAGAGATAGTAGCATCAGTCATCCGATATTGGTCATTCTGTCGCTACCTAGTCCGTTCCACAACTTGACATTGTTCTGGATTATGGGAGTGTCCTAGACAAAGGGCCTGAGAATTCCTATCTTAAGGATTCTAGGATCTCTGTCAACTACACTTGTCTGGAAGACATGTGGAAATGAAACAAGATCATCATCGATGATGTGTTTTCTTTTGTTGTGGCCGTTGAAACAATAAAGGGCAATGAAATTGAACCACGATCGGTTGTTGAAGCACATTGTCGATTTGACTAGCCAAAACAAGAAGAGACAATCCAAGTCAAACTTGATTTCTTAGCGAACATTTGGGTGTTCGGACCGGTCGTTTCAACACCCTCAAACGTTGAAATTGCACGTGTTGAATGGACTTGAAAAGGTAGAGTTCTATAAACCATTGGAGCTAAAATTGATTATTGTTCATATGTAGTTCAAACTATCTATGGGGTATTAGGCGTAAAAAATTGGATATTTGTAGACAAGGAATAATAAAACTTAATTGACTTATATTTAGTTATATCTAATGATAAAACAAAAAATAAAAGGTTTCATTCTTTTTATGTTAAATAAAAAAAAAAGAACAAAAAACCATAGGCTTTAAATGGGTATTTGAAGGAAGCATAATGAGAATAATGAGGATCAGCTTAGTAGTTTCAAAAAACTAAGTATCCAATTTATGGACATGGTCAATGTGTATCCTTATAGAGATCCAGATACAGATATTTTGTATGAAAGTTCCATCAGGATTGGTAATACATGAATCAATGAGTTCTCTACGACAATACATGTTTTTAATTAGGTTGAAGCATTTGCTATATAGTTTGAAACGAATTGCGAGTACTTGATCAGAATGAGATATATGAGCAACGAATTGCACCTATGCGTGTTTATTAAGCTCACCAATTTTGGCTTTGCGGTAATTGCAGTATATGTCAATAGCATGAACCTCAGTGGAACTCCAGAAGAGATCCAAATAAATGCTATGCACCTGAAGAATGAATTTGAGATGAAGGATCTAGGTAAGGCTAAGTATTGTATAGGCCTACAGTTCGAGTATCGTGAAAGCAGGATCTTAGTCCACTAATCGAACTACACTCAGAAAGTGTTGCGTTGATCTAACTTCCTAGAAGCAAAGTCATCCAATCATCTTATTGTCGTTTGATCTTTAGATCCTAAGAAGGACCCTTTTCATTCTAAGGAAGATGACAAAGAGATCTTGGGATCAGAATTCCCCTTTCTTAGTGTTATTAAAGCTTTGTTATACTTAGCTAGTGTACTAAACCAGACGTCTCATTTAATGTGAATCTTTGGCAGGATACAGTTCCATGCCAACACACCGCCGCTAAATGACACTAAAGACATTTTTCAATACCTTAAGGGCAGTGCAGAAAGGGGCATGTTTTATACCTATGCATCCTAGAAATTCGATGCACTGCTTGTTGAGTTTGCCAATGCTAGGTACTTATCAGACCGACACAAAGGCATGTTCCCATACGAGTTATGTATTTACCGTTAGAAACACCGCTATAACTGGAGGTTTATAAAATAACGTTGGTTGGTACTTCGTTTAACCATGCTGAACTCATAGCCTTTTATGAAGCTACTCGGAGTGTAGTTTGTTATGAGCTATGAGCATAGTGTAAGTATGTGTAAGTTAACCTCTGCTACAGATGGGCTACACTACATGTATCAACCAATTAAAGTTAGACTTTATTAAGGGTGATGCCACCATACACATAACACCCAAGTTTTTCTTCTCGTATGAACAGTTGCAAGAGAAGAACATTGAGGCCTGTCATATTGGTTCCCAGGATAACCATGCTGACCTATTTATCAAATCCCTACTTAAGAGCTCATTTCAGAAGCACATTAGAGGTATTGGGTTATGAAGGCTTTCAAACCTAGCATAAGGGGTCTTATTCATGCAGTTGTTTAGGAAGCACCCAACCATGTGCTAGTTTAGGGGGGAGGCATTTCGAAGATGGCAACGCTTTAGCCCGTGTACTCTATTTTCCTTTGCTAAGTTTTTCTTCCACTGGGTTTTACTTAGAAAGGTTTTTAATAAGGCACCAATACTATTCTTTCAACCAGACAGTAACAACCATTCGTCACTTGGGTCATGCCTGAATTCATAGAAGGCCTCCTAAGGAGATTTGCCATTCTCAGGGGAGAAATCCACAGGAATTCGAATTTATCCCACGCCGACTACCGATTGTTCTACCTACTTGAATTTACAGGTCGTCCCTATAAAGAGTATACATTTCATTTTTCATAGAGACAAAGACAAGGTATTGGCATGGAGTTCTTGTGATTAATCAACTGAGCAATTCTTGAACGTCCAAGAGTGAGAGTTGCATGACTTTATGTTAGTCCACTAATTGGTGTAACTGTTGTAACCATTCTGACATTGATTCCTCAATTAAATAGGCCCTTACACTATGTTTGGATGATGGAAATAAACTTGGAATTTGGATAAAAGTTAGAATTTGTAAATTGACATGCACCAATTCTCTTGTTTGGATTCATAAACATAGAAATTTAGAATTTCCGCGTGGAAAAAAACTTGGAATATGAGACCTCCAATTCCCAAGTTTAAATTTCATGTTAATAGGTGTCATTTTACCAATTTTTATGATTGAGAACTTAAAAATAACAAATTCCGTTTCAATTCCATTGTTTTTTTATGCTAACCAAACAAAAAAAAATCACAAATTTTAAAAAATAAAATTCCGTCATTTAAAAATTCCTTAGTAATTTTAATTTTCTTCGTCCAAACATAATGTTAATTCCTCAAATGGTTAGACAATTAATTTTGAGTATTTGTATAATTTTCTATATCCTTTAAATTTAGGTATGGCTATCCTTTAAATTGTACCACTGACAGATTATTTCTCCCATTCTCTCCCAAATTATTTCTCATTTGACCCCCGCAAGCGCAACCCAGCGAAACTGCGACACACCACATCCCACTTGACTCCCAACTCAAAACCCTCCTCCCCCTCCTTCCCCACTCGCAGAAACCAAAATGTCCCTAACAATCTCACCCAACTCTCTCCAACCCTCTACATTTCAATTTACCTTTCATTCCTCCCAAAATTACAGCTTCACCCAGCCATGGCTTCCGCATCCGCTTATCCGTAAGCGACCTAGGACCCGAATTTCCTGCGTTTCGACCCGACCCAAAAGAAATCCGGGACCAAAGACCGAGGACCCGGAAGTCCGGGAGGTGGTTCGGACGCTCATGAGGAGCTTCAGTGACAAAGAGCCGTTGTTGAAGACGCTAAACAAGTACGTTAAGATTGTGAGGACGGAGCATTGCTTTATGCTCTTTGAAGAGCTTGGGAAGACTGATAAGTGGCTTCAGTGCTTGGAGGTCAGCTCAATTTTCAATCTTTTCTGCAATTTTAGCTTCTGGGTATTTGAAATTGTTGAATTGTTTATTGTGTTTCGGTCTGTGGACGCCATTTATAAACAAAAACTTGATTAATCGATATGGAAATGATAAACACACACCCTTTTTCTCCTCCTACGCGCCCCTGCTTAATCCTTTTTATTGTTTACGTTTGATTTATTCAATCCGATAACCAGAAATAAAGAGGGGCATGCGAGAGGCTAAAAACGGCGTCTGAAAATCAGCCCTCTAATCTATGTGGATTTGATTACATGTTCTCACATTTGGTTACATGTTCTCACATTTTAAATAATGGAAACGGCATAAATTTTATGGGTTTTTAGGTCTTGGTGCTTTTGATAGTGAACGACTGCTAATTTTGTGTTAGACATGTCAGTTACTCTGTGAGCATTTTATAGCAGAAATTATGATAGGATGGAAGATACCTTCACTTATACAACCCACACTCAGGTGTTCAGATGGATGCAAAGACAGCGGTGGTACGTTGCTGATAACGGTGTGTATTCAAAATTGATCTCGGTTATGGGAAAGAAAGGCCAAACTCGGATGGCAATGTGGCTTTTCTCTGAGATGCGTAATAGTGGGTGCCGGCCTGATACTTCTGTCTACAATGCACTTATCTCAGCCCACTTAAACTCCAAGGACAAAGCAAAGGCTTTGGACAAAGCTCTTGGATACTTCAACAAGATGAAGGGAATGGAACGATGCCAACCCAGCATTGTGACGTACAACATTCTTTTGAGAGCTTTTGCACAATCTCGAAATGTAGAGAAAGTCAATGCTTTATTTAAGGATCTTGATGAGAGCGTTGCTTCCCCTGATATTTATACGTATAATGGTGTAATGGATGCATATGGGAAGAATGGGAATATAAGAGAAATGGAATCTGTGCTTTCTCGGATGAAAAGTAATCAGTGTAAGCCTGACATAATCACCTTTAATTTGCTGATTGATTCATATGGGAAGAAGCAACAATTCGATAAGATGGAACAGGTATTTAAGAGCTTACTTCGTTCCAAGGAGAAACCAACACTTCCAACGTTTAATTCAATGATCATAAATTATGGGAAGGCAAGGCTTATGGAGAAAGCGGAACATGTATTCCAGAAGATGACTGACATGAAATATACGCCAAGCTTCATAACATATGAGAGTCTTATCATGATGTATGGGTTCTGTGATTGTGTTTCAAAAGCTAGGGATGTATTTGAAAGGTTGGCTGATTCTGGAAGGGAGCTAAAGGTTTCAACGCTGAATGCGATGCTTGATGTTTACTGCATGAATGGTTTGCCCATGGAAGCTGATAAGCTTTTTGTCAGTGCAAATAGTATTGGGGTACGCCCAAATGTATCAACATATAAACTTCTATACAAGTATTACACTAAGGGCAACATGAAGGAGCTTCTCGAGAAACTGCTGAAGTCCATGGAAAATGATGGTATTGTCCCTAATAAGAGGTTCTTTCTAGAGGCTCTTGGGGCATTTTTCTCTTCACCAGGGAGTCCAGGCTCCGTGACTGCTACAACTGCTTTGAGCAGACAGCAGGATGGCGCAAAAACTTAGGTAGAGAAGACTAATAACTTGGTTTACATATTTTTCTGATTTTTCTTCTGGTAGAATCAGGTTCGATGCAAATATAGCATAGAGTTTTTGGCTCCAGCACCGGATTATCGTGGCACCATGGAATTACTTGGTCATATATAGTAAGTGTTTTTTTCTCTGTTTTTAATCGTTGTAAATGCCATTCATTTTTTCTTTATGATGAAAATTTCCAGTTTGTGTTTACAATATATATTTTTTGCAGGGTATTGTTGGTAATTTATGTCTTTAGTTATCTCTTATTGAACTCCATGACTATTTAAAAAAATCTGTACTCAATAAATCATGTAATTGGATCTTACAGTACACAAGAAATTTTTTCGAGTTTACTGGTTTTGTGATGGTAAAAAGATTTAGAAAAACCTAGGAATTTTGATTTCAATGTCACTAAAGTTCATCTTTCACACGTGAAAACAGAACAGCTGTGTAGAAAAGATGTTCAAAATCCAATGAAATGAAAGAGAAAACAAGATTTAGAATAACCTAGGAATGTTAAGGACAATGTCATTGATGAAGGTCATCTTTCAGAGCTGAAAACCGAACAGAACAGTTGTGTAGGAAAGAAATTTCAGAATCAAAGGAAAGGATTATGTTTATTTTTAAAACATAACTATGATAACTAGTTAAAAATTGAAAGAATTAATAAACATAAAATAGGAGTTCATAAAATTAAAGAGTCCTGGATGTGATGACCAAAATTTGGGTGCGGCAGAAGCTCCTGAATCTCTCTCCTGCTCTAGACTTGTAGTTCTTCTGCCTTTCAGAAACCATAGGGATGAAAGATTGCATAGTTTTGATATTATGTTCTATCATTCTCGTCAGTTTTCGGTGATGTTTTTTTTTTCTTTCTATTGATTCCGTGGTGGATATTATTTTTTTTATTTTTTATTTTTTTTAGCAAAGTGGAAAGATTTTGTAACACATAAAATGATTGCAGGAGAATGGTGGAGCCACTGGTAAGAGGCCAAAACGACGTCTAAGCTAATTCTTCGAGAAATTTTATTAGATAGATAGCAACTGGTGGTGGCACTCTTAGTTTCTATGGCCATGGCGGCCCACGGTGCTTCTTTTGTGTATTTGTACTGTGTAAACTGAAAACTGCTACGTTGAGTTGTATTCTTTGACAGGTTCTCAATAAATCACTACGCATTTGACCTCTGCTTCTATTTGTCACAAAGGAGGCCATTTTTTAATGCGGGAAGAGGCGTAACAATGTGACTTCTGCTCTCTCTAGCGCAGGGACGAAACATAATCAACTTGCATTTGGAACAACTATTCGAAATCTTAGTGACATTGGATACGTCTTTTGCGTTATCTACCATTAGACTTTCTGCACGCGCTCTTACGTGTGCGAAAGGATTTTTTTTTCGTGTTAAGGGGACATTTGTTTATTTCGTGTTAAGGTTGACCATGCAAACAGTGATTACTGTTAATGGTCACCAATACAATAAGCAAACTCGAACACACCCAAGATGCAAACAAAACTGATACGGAGAGGGATACAATAGTTTATCTAATACACTAATAAATAAGGGAATTGTTATTAGTACTTCAAAAATCTCATTTCACAATTCAAACATTTTATAATTAGAAATAAAAATACCTTGTGAGGAGTAGAATGATATTTTTGGAGTACCAATAACAGTTTCTATAACTAATTGTGTTTAATAGAAGAGATCTGAGGCCAAAAAGATAAATAGGTTGAAAAAGAAACTTCTCCACCACACGAGTTCAAACCCTTCTCTTACAAATTGGAGAAGCGACGAGAGGTGAAAGTATATTATTTTTAAATTTTAATATTTAGTGAATTCTATTATGATTATTCTATAATTTCGTCTACATTGTTTAGGGTTCTAAGTTTCCGGACATCAATGTGTTCAAGGATGTTTATGTTCGACCTGGGTGCGAGACAACTGAGCAGCAATGTACAAGTTTTCTTTAAATGTTGCTTTTCTTTCATTTATAAGTTAAAAACATTAATATGTATTTTCTTATTATTGGGGAATGCGCGAGTACGTGATGCTAGTGCCTCATCATCTGGAGCCTGCTCAGGACAGGTCGCGACGTTGACGACGAAAGTTCAGGTGCTCGAGCGGCAGCTTGCGGCCTAGGGCGACTAGATGAGCCAAATCTTACACTCCCTTCAGTTGTCCGGCATTACGTTTACGATGCCATCAACTGATTCTCAGCCACCGGGTTCCATACGACCCACACAACACATTCCCAGCTGCAACCTTCATAATAGCTACTTTGTATTAAGGATATTATAATATTTTTTGGTATGTAAGTACATTTCTCTATATAATATAAATAGATTTTGTACATTATTTATCATATTTTTATGTATTTTAACTACTAAATTTTAAAAATTAATTAAAATATCCAATTCATTTAAAAAATAATTAATTAAATAAAATTAATAAATAATAATAAATAATAACTAGAACAATTTTGCGTGACATAATACTTTCATCGTCCAAAAATTAAAGCTACGACATGTTTCATTGCCCAAATATAACACTGCGACTTACTTTATCACTTAAACTTCAGTGCGACGAAATGTAAAATATAAGAAAGGTTGAAAATCAAATACGCGGCAAAATGTTTCATCGTGCAGAGGTTTACCCGATGACATGTTTCGTCATGTAAATTTCTTTGAGACGAAACTCTGTCGTCACCCGTAGTTTCAAGCCACGAAAACATTTTGTCACCTCAAAGGTTGCGCAGCGAATCGCGAAAATGGTCACGTGACGAATTCTTTCGTAGCGTTTGTGACCTATGTTTCGTGTGTATACCTTCTTGTGTGGCGAACTGTAAATATTTGTCTCACAAATCTTTGCGTCTCAAACTTTGACAGAGTAATTCTGCTCGACGAAGAATTTTTGCCATAAGTTTTTAGCGATGTACTTTGTGTGATGAATTGTTTTTCGTTGGACAAACAATTTTTTGCAGTAGTGAAGGGATCAATTTGCTTGCTCAATATTTACATATGGTTCGACGACAACAGTCTTTCGGAAAGTTGCACACATTTTTTCTTTCTGGAATGATTCCTACTCCATTAGACCATCTCCAAACTTGGGCTAAAAGCCAAATTACCCCCCCCAAACACTCTTCAACCCATGTTAAAATTTTAGGCTAAATGTCAAATGTTATTTCTGGGCCAAATACCCTCCAGCTTTCCCCCCAGGCTAAATCCCAAATGTTTATCGGAATTTAAATTTTTTTAGATTAAAATGTTCATAAAATTAATTTACAATAATCTACATATTTATTTATTTTTTTTTAAATTGATTTAAGAAAAAAATTAGCCTAAATTCATTCTTTAATAATTCCGGGCTAAAATTTTAGGGCAGAAGGGTTGGAGCAGAAAAGATGTTTCTGGGCTAAAAGCCAAATTTTCCGGGCTAAAAAATTTGGCTTTTAGCTCAAGAGTTGGAGATGGTCTTAGGGTTTAGAAGAAATAATGAACTCCTTTTAGAGTATCATGGAAAAAATTGTGAAGGATATGATTTGGCTTTCTATAATCTTCAAACCAAGCAAGTTTACAGATTTGGAATCCGATTGGCACAAAATTCCCATTCCCGCTACTATGCAGAGACTTATGTTGAAAGTTTAGTTTTAGTCAATAATTAGAAAGGAACGAGTTAGATTATCACATATTTTCTTTTCTTTTCTATGTGAATTAAGCATTTTTTATTGTTTCAAAATGCACTCGTACCTTTGTCTTTTGGGGTGTGCTAACAAGTTGTAGTTTGGAAATTTTTTAATGTGTCCTTCGACTCCTTTTTTGTTTTGGCTTGTTAACTAACAAGAAATCAGCATTAATGTATTTGTTGGGAAAATATCTTTTCATTGATGACAAATAATAAGATTACACTTGGTATTTATACAATGGCATAGCACACACACTTGTGCTGCCAACTCATCCTAACTACCATAACAAACTTAGCCTAACTAATCACACCACTAACAACAAATTACAACAGAATTAATCAAAGCTAAGCTTTATCTTTTACAAGAGAATTGTCCTTACTATTCCCCCTCAAACTAAACTAAGGACTCAAAGTGTAAGTTTGTCTCCGAGTTGCAGAAATCTGAGCTTGGACAAGAACTTAGTACAAATGTCTGCAATTTGATCATGTGAGCAAGCAAAGAACTGAAACAGCTTTTGATAGAACCTTTTCTCTTATGTAATGGTGGTCTATTTCAACATGCTTGGTTCTACCATGAAAGATAGGATTTTTTTTTTTTTTTGCCAAGGATATTGCTGAAATGTTATCACACTAGAGCTTGGGAGGACATGGAAGAGTTAAACCAACATCAACTAATACTTTGAAGATCCATGTAAGTTTTGTAGCAGTGTTAGCTAGGGATTTGTACTGCTTCAGTAGATGATCTAGCCACTGCAGGTTGCTTTTTGGCACTCTGGTTGATGAGAGAATTACCAAAGAACACACAAAAACCTCCTGTTGATTTTCTGTCAGGTGAACATCATGCCCAATCTACATCTGAGAAAGCATTGACACTCAGTGGAGTTGAACATTTTGAAAACCAAAGTCCAAGATCCAAAGACCCTTTGAGTTATCTTAGAATCCTTTTGACTGCTTGAAAGTGTGATTCCCTTGGATTATGCACGAATTGAGATACAAGATTAACTGCAAAGGATAAGTCAGGTCTAGTCCATGTGAGATATTGCAACCTACTAACAAGAGACCTATATTCAGTATGATTGGAAGTAGAGGACTTGAGTGATCTAGTTTGGAAGTATTAAGTGGAGTTGAACAAGGCTTTGCACCATCAATTTTTGGTCTTTTGAGAAGATCCAAAATATATTTAGTCTAAGAGATGAACACTCCTTTGGAAGATCGCTTGACTTCAAGACCAAGAAAATTATGAAGTGGCCCAAGGTCTTTGATAGGAAACATAGTATTGAGCTGAGAGATAATAGTTTGACAAGCTTGGGAAGAATGACTAGTCACAATAATGTCATCCACATAAACTAAAACAAAGACCAGTGATTGGTCAGTTTTTGACAAACAAAGAATGATCATTCTGAGAATCTATGAATCCAAAAAAGTGTAGGGCTGCATATAATTTTTCATACCAAGCTTTGAGCGCTCGTTTTAGACCATAGAGTGATTTATGCAATTGACAGACATTGTGATGCCTTGTAATATCTTCAAAACCAGATGGTTGCTTTATAAAGACATTTTCCAAGAGATTGCCATGTAGAAAGGCATTACTAACATCCAATTGGTTTAAAAACCAATCATGTTGAATTGCCAATGTGAGTAGAAGTCTGATAGTAACTGGTTTGGCAACATGGTTGAAAGTCTCTGTGTAGTCTAACCCTTCTTGCTGATGAAAACCCTTTGCAACTAAACGAGCTTTGTAAATATCAATAGTCCCATAAGGTTTTCTCTTAATTCTAAACACCCATTTGCAACCTACAAGATTCTGAGAGGAGGAGGAAGGGAAAAAAAAATCATGTACCAGTGTTTAGAAAAGCATTATACTCTTCTTGCATTGCCTATCTCCAGTGAGCATTCTTAGATGCTTGGAGATAAGTAGTTAGGACATAATTTCCTCAATGAGATGTTGTGGAATATGATGTTTGGTAGTTGTGAAAGCTTTAGGTTTAGAAATACCATATTTTGACCTTGTTTGCATGGGATACATTTTAATATTGAATTAGAGCTGGGGAAGGTGATGGAGGGATAACATGTAATTCTGAAGATTGATTAGAAGACACATAGGGTAATGCAGATGCTTGTTATGGATTGGAATGTTTTGTAGGCAATTGAGTTGAAGACAGGGATGGAGTTGGTTAATGACTATGGAAAATAGTTAGTGTAGTAAGAGTGGAGGTAGGAACATAGGTAGGGGGTTGGCTAGGGACAAAGATTGGGGAACCAAGTTGTTTAAATGGGAATGTTTGTTCATGAAAAACAACATGCCTAGATATGTAAACTCTATTGGTTTGGGGATCAAGACACCTATAATCCATGTGATTTAAGCTGTAACCAACAAAGAAACAAGGCTTGCTCCTTGGTTCGAGCTTTGATGTGGTATCGAGTTTTAGCCAGGGAAAACAACTACATCCCAAAACCCTAAGAGTTGAGTAATCTGGTGATTTCTTAAAAAGAGATTCCCATGGAGA